TCTCTCTCTCTCTCTCTCTCTCTCTCTCTCTCTCTCTCTCTCTCTCTATGTCGCACACTTTTGCATACAATACAACACCAGTACCAACAGCAGCGACAAAACCCTCCCGCACGAAAAAGTTGTTCGCGAAGTTTCCGCCTTCTCAAATAACTAAATTCCAAGAACGGAAATTGTGAAACATTATTATCTATTATTCTGTCATTAATGCAACATTTTGCCGTTGAGGAATAATTTTCTCTTACAGGCAAAGAACATCATAAGCACAAGCGATTTGGGACTTCTATTAATTGCAAACAAAATGCAACTGGTGAATTATATACACAAGAACTTTAGTTCAGCCGTAAACAGAAACTTTTATTTTCGTCTTCAATATTCCGGTTCATAGTTCGCCTTTGTTTGTGTGTAGGACTTTGGCATTATTAAATACATAGTTGTGTATTTTCGGGCGATAGGGAAATGCCAGGCTCTCCAATTTTCAATGGCAGACATCTGCAGTTCCACCCGCTATGAGTACACCATTTCTGCGACCATAAAACCGGCACACACTCGTCTTAGTTTTCCAAGAAAACTATTTAATCAATTTGGACAATAATTAATCGGTACATAAGAAAAGAGAGCAAAAAAAACATCCCATTTTCGCTAATTAATGACACAGGTAAACAAACATTAAACTAGTCTTTGACTCCCTGCATTTATCCAATAATCCAAAACATTAAATCACATAAAATCTACAATTGAAATCGTCCTACCTGAAGTCGTTTCGGCAAATCTTCCAAAATTTGAATGTTCATCTAGGTAAACAGCAAATAGTTTTTACGACTGGAGATAAAGACATTTTAAACTTTATCATATATAAGCAACGAAAATTATCTGCCACGAGCAGCAAAACTACCGAATTTACCACTCATGACCCGCAAAACTTTGTTTTGATAACTATTTTATCTCGTAATGAATGCCAACAGAAATTCCTTCACACAACCGTTTTTGTGATTGGAATGAGACAAAATTCTATCTCTTTTATTTTCTTTTAAACAAAATGTTTTTTTATTACTATATCACAAGTCGTACATTTTTGGAATATTTGTAACTAAGCTTTGAAGGAGGCCGAATTTTTGCTAAATGAATCAATACCAAGGAATAAAATAATAGTTCGGATTAAGTGGTTCCCTTTCTGAACATAACGAGCGATAAGTTTGATCAGTTCCGGTGACACAACCAGATCCACCTTTGGTCGAAGTGAGATAAACGGGTACAGTTAAGGTGTTTCCTACCGCATAATTGCAAGCGAAATAAAAACGGCCAAATTCATTGTGGAAATAGCGTGTTGCACCGCATCCAACCGTTGTCGCATTTCCCCAAACCAATTGAGTAAAATGTCCAATTTGATCCTTACTGAATACGTGAAATCAACAGCGATATAACATTAATTGGTAAATAACATAATTAATAATCAATAATTATAATTATCAATGAATGAATATCAATTGATTGAATTGAATGGAACTAAAATCCACTTACGGGTTTAAGCTAAATCGATTGATGTAGGTCATGTTCGCATATTTATATTCTTTGAACCATAAATCGTTGATAGACTCTAAGATAACTGCTGTTGTTACTGGGAAACGTCTATATTTTGAAATACTCGCCAGATTTTGGCCGGCACTCTTGTACTTATCTGTAATAAAGTCGATTTATGAACGACGAATCAAATAAACGAAGAGGTATTTTTCATTTCTCAATATACCTGTATTACGACATTCATCGTGTCCAAATGAACAGTTGTGAGTATTTATACCAGCTAAATAAGCCAGTTCCTTATCCCAAGTCTGCAATTTCGAATGAATGAAATGAATAGTTCGTTTTCGATGTTTTATGCAATATTTATTTACCATTTTAGCCATTTGTTTACATGGCTCAAAACCAGGTATGGATCCATTGCATATGGCATTTCGAAAGTCATTGTGCAAATGTAAAATATAGTTAATTTCCGTTTGATTGAACTCATAAATCGACGAATTCGGGGGACAGTTTGACGTAAGTTTCTGCAAATGAATATTATTCATTATTTATTCAGTGAATAAAACAAAATGCATCATCAGAATTTTGTATTTGGTATGCAAACACTTAGTACTTACATTAGTGACATTGCAGGCAACATGCTTGAATGCTTGGCAATCCACTTTACAGTAATCGGTACTATAAACAAAATGCACCAAACACACCAGCACACCAACACCTTAGAACAAAATTATTCGAAAAAATATCAAATGGATTAGTTTGTCATTCGTCGAGCGAAAAAGGAGGAGGTAAAAACCTAGAAAAACACTTCAGATGAAAAAAAAATCAAATATATCGTACCTATGATAAATTTCATTTCGTAGTTTTTATTTAATCAAATTTTTTTTATTCCAATTAAGTGGAAACAATTGGATAAAATGACAAATGAATGTAAAAGCACACAAAAATTCGACTTCAAAAGCATTCGCGAACTGATTGGCAGACGGAATGAATCGGTTTTTATATCACGGAGGTCTGATAAGTGACTCTTTCTCTCCATATAGTTTTCACTCACTTCCACCTTCAATTTAGATTCTAAGCCGAAAGATAAGTTTTGTGGAAGTAAACAAACTATAGGCAAAATTTTACTTGGGCATCAATTGGTTGCGCTATCCTTTCCTATACGTACATTTTCGCCATAATTTCTAATTGCTTCGGGTTTTTCATGAGTAAATTTAAAAAAAAAAGGAATAAAAGAACCGCATTTACCATTTACGATTCGTAAATGTTGGTACCAAGAAAAGAAAAGACACGTCGAGTCTTTTTATATAGTTTTGAATGGGATGACATTGATTACGTGTGTAGTGTGTGATAGGGCGTTATAAACTTTTTCTACTTTTATTCTTTGTTGAGCGACAAAAACAACAACAAAGTTATAAACTTAATGTAAACATTTATTCAACGATTTATGCACGTGGAATCCCATACAATGTCATTGATATAAGCGCCAAGAAAACGGTTATAGAGACAGCGTGTGACCGTCACGTAAATATTTTCAGTTATCATGACAGCATCTGCCAAATTGTTTGCGAGCGAACGACAAAAAAGCGGAGTTCTTTCATTGAATCGTGCCGATAAAAATGCAATGAATTCTTATCTCTCGAAAACTAAATTCCACCAACGCAGTGTTTGACGGATGGAACAATTTTGTTCGAATGTAACCGTAAAACCAGAGAAAAATCGATTATTGACCAAAAGTGTTTTATCCTTCCGTGTTTGTGTTGAGATGTGTGCATCTGTCTTGCTAGAAGCAACATCGTCATAAAAGTGTACGTTTGTCGAAAGAGAGGTGGAAAGAAAGAGCGAGTGGATGCGGAATGTGGTGCGGAAATAAAATCAAGTACAAACATCGATAATAATAATTTGCCGTATTGGTGAAGTATGGATGCACGTGCGCCACAGCCGCTTACAGACGCTCTTTATCATAAAATAATAATTTACGATGCAAATGTGCTGGCGAAAATGTAACCAAATAAATCATTCAGGTGGGAAACAAGAAATTTATATGTTACGCGTCAAATATTATTTATTATGCAATTGTCGCTGTATTTTGTATGCTTCCGTTTGTGTATTCTCCATCCCATCATCATTCAGACCGGCATGTGTCCGTCGTCGTCGTCGTCGTCGTCGTCGTCGTCGTCGTCGTCGTCGTCGCCGGAAAGATTTCCCAATTGAAAATAGGGGTTTGCTTCAAAACGCATCACAAGACGAAATAAAACCGGTATCCCAAAGTTAAGCATTGATCGTTTAAACTTTAGAGCTTTAAATAAAATCTTAAGGCGTCGAGAATGCTCCCCACCCCGACCGAGAATCGTCTCAACAGATTCTCCAAGTTTGAGAGTTACTTGGTGCTTTGAGAGTCGAAACGTCGACCATAAAACTTATATGACACGAAAGCATTTAAATCTAAATAGGGGAAAAAACCATTTTTTTCATTTTCATCGATTCGGAATTTCTGGGTGAGCGCGTGTGAAGTATAAAATCTACATTTTCTTTTTCCGATTGAATTACTATACTAGATCACGTTCCATTGAGATTTTCGTTTATATGAGGCACATCTCATCCTGCACCATCATTCCATCTCTTTTTCAATTGCGATTGCAAGTGAGCCGAAATTGAGTGCCACCGCACACAGACACACACACACTCGCCCATTCTCGAACATATGCCGAATTTCAATTCGCATAAAATAAAAGCGCATCGACAAAACACACTTGGAATGGCTTCAAGCAAATAAAATGTGTTTGAGAAAGAGAACGAGAGAGAGAGAGAGTCCATGCATTTCATTTTAAACATAAACACAAGTGCTCGTGTCTTCTCGTCGAACATATTCTTGGCACATCACGTATTTGTTTACCATTTATGCTTTAAAACTGAAGTGGCAATTTTCCCTTGAATCAAATGGTTTATCTATTAGTTTTCATGCTGCTGTTAAATTGACTTTACTATCTGTTTCCCGCTTGCTGCCTCTATCTTCACTCTCTCGCTCTCCTTCTCTCTCTCTCTCTCTCTCTCTCTCTCTCTCTCTCTCTGTCTCTGTCTCTGTGTGTGTTGCCATGTATAGTTTTGCAACACTTTTCCCATTCGCTCATATTTCTTTTTCGATTGCTAATCAAAATGAAAGGAAAAACAAAATTCGAAACTTCCCAAAAAGTCAATTATTATATTCAATAATTTCTGAAACGAGTCTTTCGACACGTCTCATTTCCGTGTGGCGTGTTTTTTCTTGTTCGCCGCTCAAACATTGATACATTGCTGCACATTTCGCATTCGGAGTATTATTTTGAATATTGCTTTTAAATTCAATTCAATTGAATAGCACAAAATTGGATGTATTGGGGTGCGTTCGTTTATTTTTCGGACGTAATTTAATTAAGCACTTTCGTTGCACTGTTTATATTCATTTTATTTATATTTTAAACTTTTTTCCTCTGCTGGAATATATCGTTTCAGGAAATGGATGTTTTTTTCCCTTTCGAAAGGATATCATTCGATATTTATTTAGATGTGGTCATTGCATTCGATTTTATTTGAGTTTTTTTGCCCGATAATCATCAGCTAATAATATGCCAACCATTTTCGCCATGATATATTTATTACTTCGGGTGTTCAACAAATTGAACTTCTGAATGATTAGAAATGGGCTGTTGCTGGTCAAAATATTGAACCATTTGTGGTACAGTTTACAAATAGAATTGAAAATATGTTTGATTTGAATCCCAAATAAATTAGATTACGAACGATTAAGTCGACGGGATTTATTGTCATATCCACCGGCAATTATTTACATGTTGTGTGCGTGGATTCATACCCATTTAGTTGAATATGGGAACTTAATCGAAAATCCCCATCGCAACAGACGTATAAACCATATGAACTGCTGAGAATAAAAGGCTGACGATTGCAGGTTTTTCGCAAAAGCGGGATAAAAATCAGTTGCACGCAAAAGAGACATTTCAAAAGGTTGCACGCAAGAGAGAAGTATATTGTTGTTGTAATCACGGCTTGAAAATTCGAAATGCGACAAAATAAAATTTTCCGTTTGCGTGCAACCTTTTGAAATCTCTCTTTTGCGTGCAACTGATTTTTATCCCGCTTTTGCGAAAAATTTGCAATCGTCAGCCTTTTATTCTCAGCAGTTCATATGTGAGAAGAAAATTTACCAACCGCAATAGAGTTCATATTTTATGTGGCCGAAGCAATAAAAATTACGATTTTACGCAAACGTGCCGCGTATATTCATGGCCAACATCGAGTCGTGATTTTTAACTAAATCTGCATCACAAACATATACTAACAATAAATAATGAGACAACATTATTATTAACATTATGTTTCAAATATCATTCATTTTGTGTTGACCATGGGCCACTTTACCGACTACTTGATAGTGCTTCATACACATGCATAACATGCATACAGAGTGGACTCATTTCGTTTATCATTCAGGAATAGAAATTGGAAAGCGTTTTCCTCTTTCTCCGTATTCTTATCTTTTGTTCGTCGTATGTCATTTATTTCGCCTTGTTCTTCTTTTCCCCTTTTTAAATAGGACAAGCGAAAATTCACCCATCGTCCTTTTTACCTCTTTTTATTTTTCTTTTCTTTGAGTTCCCCATATCTCACTGAACATTCAACATCTTCTGGAATCACAAATGAAGCAGTCACCAACAAAGCATTCCTGAGGCCGATTGTCTCTTTGCGTGCGGAACACTTTGTATACGCGTAAAATGCACAAACATTCAAAGAACTAAATCAAATGATAACCTCAATAAAAAAATAATAAATGCATGAAGTAATTACATTCACGTTGGTTTTCGGCTGTGTGGAAAATTTTCGAATACCTTCCCTTTGCAGATGTCCGTATGCTTCCATTTAATTTCGAGCAATATCGATTCGCTCTGCTGAATAAATCATACACACATTTGGTTTTCGCGGTCACATTTTGACGTGTGAATGCCACGGAGCACTAATCCTATTACAATGATGATTGTTGGTTAATTTTAGATTTTCCGCAATTTATTTGATTTAATGATTTTTATTCGTTGAATATTTCGTGCGTCGACCCAGACAGTTGATATTATTCAATGATTTTTCGGTTTGTTTTTATCAAACAAAAGTCGCGTCCATTTTTGTTGTTGGTTTGTTCTAAATAATGTTCAGAAATCGATGATGCGAGTAGATGATGTTTGTTGACGGCAAAAAAAAATATTATTTTGGTGTACATATCTAGTCGAGAAATTGTTCTTTACCTGCGTATTTAAACATAAGAGTTTCTTCATGCAGATTGAGAATATTCTTCGAAAAGCTACCAATCTGATTGAAAAGACACTTTTAGAAAAAAAATCATTGCAAAGCGGTAAAATGAAACAAATGTTAGGAAATAGACATTGATTTTTCTTTTAATAATAAGGATTTCTGAATTGGTTGACATCAGTTTGTGTGAACATATGCTTAATTCTATTTGATCCATTGCGATAAAAGAATGTCCTCAGAATATTTTAGTTTAAAACTGCAATAGAGTTTACAACAACAACTCTATATGAAAAAAACATTTATGTTGCACTTTAAAACTAAAATATTCTGAGGACATTTTTTATCGCAACGGCTCATTTTAACTACGTATATTAAAAATCTATTCGAACAAAGAATAGAGCTGAAGTAAAATGCAACTCCTTTGCTAGCTCTGATTGGTAATTTTATCCATGAATCTTTAATTGAGATGGAGTTTTTTTGGAAGTCTATAAACAGATGCAAATTTGTTCGACATCTGTATTTAGTTGCCACCGCCACCGCAGATGCATTTTCTATGTATGAATAGAATAGTGTTTAGCGGTAGTTACCGGTTCTAAACATTCTGAAATGCTTCCCTATGCGTTTGATTCCAATCATATCGTAGTTCGCGTAGAGATTGGGTGTTGCCATTTTTGTTTGCA